TCTTTTACGTGCAAGCCAATGTGTACACGGGACCTTGTTTTTTCTTCCCATCCGAACAACCAGAAAGCTGTCCTTTCAGGCCCTGCTTTTCGCAATGGCAAAGTGAGGCCAAGTACTGGTACCATTGTTACAATAATAATCAGAATCAAATAATTTGAATGAAATTTTCAATATATTCATTTTGCATTATCTATTTTTGAACTAGTTTAGCATGAACAGCATAATGCATCTTTAATATTTTGAACAAAGGTTTCATGAATAAAGGCCAAACTTGTAAAGCAATCTTACACTTACAGACTGAAATTTAATTAGTTTTGAAATACAAACTGGTTTGCATTGTTATCAACTGGAGAGTTTTTTACACCTAGTTAGAACAAATTCCAATGTTATGTTCTTAGGTTCAACGATCTGAATAAAACCCCAAGAAGCATCTGCTCAAATCCTTTGTTTCCCTTTCAATATCACAAGCTCAAATTGTCTAACATTAATACTTCACTGGGTCCCAACTGTTGGTTTCTTTCATGGTTTTTGAATGCCATTGAAATAATTGATGTTTTTTTTTTTTAAGACAGCAAATGAAGATGGGGATGAAGATGGTAATAGGTATGACCCGCATGTGACAAGATTGATTAGATATTTGGATTTTGGTGTACAGGGTATTACTCTGCTACTATCTGATTTGTTTCTTTCAAGTCACTTAACGTCTAAATTTACACATCTTAAAGATACATTAAGTGAGATTTTGATAAAGAGCTGTGCGTTCTTATTATAACGTATTATTGTTTGAAGTTTCGACAAGATATAGCATAAAGTCTTGAAGTGCCATTTCTACAATAGAGAGTTGATTATGGACTTTTCATGTCAATAAATGCATAATTAAAGATACATTATGGGAGATTCGATAATGAGTTGCCAGTTCTCACTATAATATTAATAGTTAAAATCTAGATAATGTGTAAAGCAATTTGCTGAAAATTTCATTTGAAATTTCAGCCTAGGAGGCTAGCGATGCCATCTAGAGTTGATTGTGGTCTGGATAGGTTAATTAATGTCTAATTAATAAATATTAAAATAATAACTGGATCATACATTGATGGATTCACTGACCAGTTGTTAGGTAAATTTAAATCTTCATTGAATATAATCCCCTGATAGAACACCGAATACACCGAGAATTTAATAATATATTTTCCTGATAGAATTCCAATGACAATGAATTAGGTCAATAAACCAGTTCTAAATAGCGCTTACCGTTATGATTTTTTTTTATTTTATACACATTCTGACAAAGGCTTACTTTAAAAAATTAGGCTATATATATCATAACCGTACGAAAGTTTTATTTTAAAGCAATTTGAAGTATGGTTGTCACGTGACAATTGTGCCACACGTGTGTCTATCAATTGACGAATGAATAAAAACTTTTGCCAAGTTACGTGGCTAGCTACCAGATAGACTACAAATTGTGTTATGAAGAAATGCCATGGTGCCGTATCAGCTTATTTTGTGTACGTACGGCATTTTCTAATACTGGCAATAATTGAAAAATGCTAATATTTTAGATCATCGACTTATGAATAAACGAAGACAGTAATTAATTTATTCTGGAATATTACTCGAACTTCAAGATGTACGTGAATTAAATATTGAAAATTTTCAAAAGGTGTACCTGTCGTTATTTTTGTGGTAATCACATACATTAAAATACGACATTCTCCACAACAAATTACCAAGAATTATTTTTGTTGAAATCTAGGGAATGGAGCTTATAAATTAACCCATATCTTACGGGACCTCAATTGACCCAATTCTGGCCGGTTTGTTTCAAAATGGATTAAGAACCCTGATGGATACCCATCTCAAACATATTGAAACAGAATGTAGTTTGAGATTATTTTGGGCATAATTCGTGATATCATCATATCGGGTTGTCGTATCGTCAATACGTATTGTATCGAAAATCAACTGTATCGACACAGCCCTAATAATGTATGTTTAATAATTTATATATAACATTTGAAAGCAGAAAAAAGACCTGCAGATTTAGTTATTCTAAATATTCTAAAAGAATATTTTGATCAAACTAGATTTTTAAAGCTTTAACTTAATCAGACTTATATACAAGCATCCGTTTTTTTTAAAATGTCCCCCTATCAATTTTCGTGATTAAAGTGTTGTTTTGATCTACAATCATCATATTTGACAAACCATTTTTAGTATCAAAATGTCAGATTTAGATTTTTGGGTGAATTGACATGGAATGAGTTTCTTATGACTTGGTTGCCAAACAATCCCTATTAGTTTAAAAAATTTATTGTTTGTTAATAATAAATCTCATTTATTAAGTTAAAAGATAGGTTGCCTTGCAACGAAACACATGCCCACAGAAGTCAACAAGAGTTGTCGCATATTTTTACTTTTGTAGGTAATGAAACATCTATGGTCTCTAAAGCAACCACAAGATCTTTCAAAGTGATTAAGTAATTATCTGAAATCATTGAAAATCAATAAGCTTCTTCATCTCATGACATTAAACACTGTATAAACACTGGACAACGACATTATACGACCATAGTTCTTTGTGGGCGTATAAAAACAATAAGTAATAAACCTTGTACAGACACATTTGGCATGATAAAAGATTTTGTTTTGTCATATCATTAATCTTTGCATTGTTGAGAGTCAGAAAGTCTGCTTTGAATATCGGGATGCAAGAATTTGAGGCAAGAATTATTTACGTCCAGAATAGTCACTGTCAATTGATGTTGAATATTATTTTGAAACCATAACACCACAAAAACAAAAGAAAGGTTGCCAGGCAACGAAACATTTGCCCACAGAGCCAAATACACTATAATACACTAAAATCTGAGTAACAACTCATTAAGCACTTATCAGAAAATCATTAGAATTTGTTTGGTTTTTATAAAGTTCTGCCTCATGCTACCGTTTAGTATGCGAAACATTTAATATCATAGATTTAGCTGTTCAGTTATCAAAATTCATTGAAAATCAATATACTTGTTCGTCTCAAGACCTTTAACTTTGTATATCAATCTGAAGTTAATCAGATGATAACTATAGCCTCTAGAGCGTCACAAGATTTTTCAAAGTGATCAAGAAGGGCCATAAATTTGGTAGTAATTAGCGGAAATCGTTGAAAATCAATAGGATTCTTCGTCTCATGACCTCAAACACTCTGTTTAAATTTAAAGTCAATTGGATATTAGCTTTAGCCTCTAGAGCGTCCACAAGATTTTTTGAAGTGATCAAGGGCAGTAATTATCGGAAATTGCTGACGGATAGATGGGCAGACGACAATATACGATCACATTTCAATGTGGGCGTATAAAAAGTGCCGACATTTCAGTTCAACAATGTTTCTTTTCTTTTGGCAAAATTTCGAAGTAACAAGCTTAATAAGACTCCTACATTCCCAACCTTGGTACTGGCATTTCTAATGTATTCCTCATTTTTTCACTATGGGGGATTAATGCTGTGAATAAACTACGAAACTCATTCCAATTTGAACTTTTCCAAGATGACATCATGTCTCTGACATGGATAATTGATTGTATAAAAAATGCTCACTAACAATTTAAATTTAACTGAAATCTATCTAATTTACCAAATCTTACATGTATTAAAATACAGATCTATATTTTGTTTCATTATTTATATTTTCATTGGCCTCAACTACATGAAGATCTAACTGGTTGAAGTGGGAGGTTGGCTTTTGGCTATTCAAGCATTGGATTAACCAATCGCTGTCGGTGTTTGGAAATTTTTGCTTCGATTTGTTTTGTATCGCTGCGAATGTCTACCCCATAGTTACGCGTGGTAGACAAGAACTTGACTAATCACCACCTGATTGACTAATCCTGCAGATTCAGCAGAACGCTGTTTATTTAACAACTCTTCCAGATCCTACATGTAGGTACACTGTAGTGAAGACAAGTAAATGAAATTTTGAACAATAAATAAACAAACAAAACGAAATAGGATCTGTGTTACCTTTTGTGTCCCTGTTCCTTTGGAACCAAGTAACTTTATTAAACAAATCTGGACAACAAGGTGTCATTGACTTAAACCATGAAAGTAGGGGTTTGATTTTCCTTGGAGGCGAAAGAAGTAGGGCATTAAGATGAACAGACAGACATTAAGTTAGGGGATTACTTCCTTCCAGATATCTGCATACATAGGAAATTAACAGGAATATCAATGGTATTTTCTAGTGCTTTATTTTGATCTTTCAGCAACAAGTAGACAAAATGAACATTTTAAGCCCTAAACAGCAATTGTAATACCGTTTTCTTGGTAAATATTGACCTGGTTACGAATTGTGATAAGAATTGCATCGTAGCATCCAAATCGCAATACATATTGCATCGTGACTGTATAACCAGCACTAGTATTTTCAACCTTACTAAAAGTTGACAACGGGTATTCAAGATGACAGTACCTTCAAATAAAGAGTTACCATCAGCTGGCAACTGGTAATGAAGATGACAGTACCATCAACTAGTTACCATCAGTTAGATTACAACATTGTTTTATTTTACACTACATTGTAATCTAACTTGCTGGAACTTTCTATCACAACAATCCCCTGCTAGTTGGAAATTTTATTTGCATCCTCAGCCAATCACCTGTTGTTTTAGAAAAGTCTTAATATAAGTTAAAATAATAGTTCAAGTTCAAGGTAGGAAAGCAAGTCAGTACAGAGAGTATGCTCCCCACTAATCTGAAAAGAATCTGTTAAAAACTATAGCCTCTATTGCATGACAAGGTTTTCGGCAAAGGGGAAATAACTCTGGTATGGAAGGTCTTGGAAAGCTCAATTTAACAATGCTTCACACCAATTTGACGACATAATGTGGGCGTATACAAAATGCACTTTGTATAATGTCCTACTTTCCTGCACTAACTGGGCGAATGAAGACAGTTAATCCCATTAACAGCTTAAGGGAGGATTGATTATAATGAAATTTGAATATTACCTCTGATCAAACGTTGGTGAAGCTTCTAGGGTGGGCGAGTCCATATAACATCCTGAAAGAAAAAAACTCATTGTAAAAGTTGCAATATTGATATTAATTTATAAAACACAACTACATTCTTTCTTTATGGTAACTAGTAGTGTTGAAACTACTATTCGGATACAAAATAAGGGTTATCCGAATCATTTTACTATCCGTTACAGTCTTCTGACATTCCGTATGCTCTATATTTAGCCATTTTTACATCTGATTACTTTGAAATTTTCCCCAATGCTATTATCACGTACACAGCTTTGAGCATAAATGTTAATATCATGTGTATTATTTAGCGATAGTAACTAATAAAAAAATTAATTTTTGCAAATCGAAAGTAAGATTTCATACTCGGCATACACAGACACTCATAAACATTGAAATAAGTAACAAATTATGAGTATATGAACTTTTGATGTGATTTTGTTCTAGAATTTCACGTTTCCGAATTATCCGAATAGTATTCGGATAGCTTTAAAACCCCATTTCTCTCTCTCTCTCTCTTACATGTGTCATTTAAAATTTCCGTTTATTACTTCTAGAGTTATTGCACTTTGTGAACGCTATGAAATGCCGATCTGTATGAAATTTATGTGCCAATTAAATTATTCAAGAGAAGAATCCTGTTGAATTTCAGCAATTTCCGTCAATTATTTCTACAGTTATGACCCTTGTTTCACTTTGTTGCACCATGGGAACATCTAATGCTCTGCCGATCTGTATGAAATTTACAAGTGTCATTTAAATTAGTCATTTAAATTTCAGCAATTTTCGTTTACTACTTCTAGAGTTATCATCCGATAATATACATGTATATGAAATTTATATGCATCATTTAAATTGGTGAAACAGTGGTCTATTGAATTTCAGCCATTTCAGTCAATAATTTCTAGAGTTATGACGATTGTGAACCTTGTGAAAGTGATCATGTGATCTGTATGAAATTTATATGCATTATTTAAATTAGTAAAAAGAAACAGCTATACCCTTGAGATAACATCAGGAAAGGCTTTGACAACATTTATTCATAGGCATGGTGGAACTGTACATCTCAATATCAACTGCGCATGTCTATACATATTTTACCTACATGTACATGTATACGGTAGTTATAATAAGGTATGGAAACACATTAATGAATTGACAGACAACACAGTTCTTGCTATAATAAAAGTCTGATGAAAGCCTTCTCCCTCGTGGCCATATTTATTTTTCAAGAAGATGGCGTATGTGATCGTTTGATGTCCCACATTAATCTTATTAGAGACAATGACAATGTATTAAGAACATTAGCATTGCTAAAAAGATGTCTGATAATTCAAATCTTCTATGGTTTATTAACCTTTACATGTACCACACTCCATACAATAGATGAATTTGAATGCGTCAAAACTAAGTTATAAGATAGGTTGCCAGGCAACGAAACATACACCCACAGCAGCTAAAGCTAAAGGTTCAATAAAGGTTCATAACTCTAGACGTAATAAACAGAAATTGCTGAAATTCAATAGGCTTCTTCGTTTCACTAATTTAAATCATGCATATAAATTTCATAAAGATTGGGTGATAACTTTTGCCGTTGGCGTTCACAATGTTCAATAAAGTGAAACAAGGGCCATAACTCTATAGACAAAATTAACAGAAATTGCTTAAATTCAATAAGTTTCTTCGTTTCACTAATTTAAATCATGCATATATATACATTTCAAAGATCGGGTGATAACTTTTGGCGTTAGAGTGTTCACAAGGTGCAACAAAGTGAAACAAGGGCCATAACTCTAGAAGAAATTTCTTTGTTTCACTTATTTATGGGGGTGCTCGATTGTAAGTCCGGAACGTCCCGAATTGACAGAATTGCAATTAAGTGATACGGAATTCAGTCCCGTCACAGTTCTGCCAGTCCCGACAGTTGAGGTGGTGTGAGTAGAATCGTGACGTATTTTAAGTAACAAATATGTTTCAGCTGCCATGATTGGTTGAGATATTTTTTATGCAGTGGGCACATGCGCTGTACTCCGAAATTCTCCTTTTCACTCGATTGACACTATTTTCGGAATTGAAAGAATTTAATTCCGGAACGTTCAATCGAGTATCCCCTAAATCATGCATATAAATATACGCCCACATTATATTTGGTCTTGTGTCAAGGTTTACGTTGTAAATGTCGAATTTATAATTTTATTGTATTTTCTTACTTTGCTTTTGTTTGATAATCCTGAATCATAATGAATGATTTGGTATATTAGCTATCTGAATGTATATGAAAATGTATTTTACACATTAAAATGTGAAAATAATATATTTTTGTGAAATTAACCAACATTGAAAACTATTGCTATGAGAACATACGTCCGTTACCAAATATTTACATTTTTTTCGCTCATTCATATAAAATTTATGTATGGAATTGTTTAAAAGTACATATCTAAAGCTAAAATAACCCATTCTTATTACTATGGGTTTTCATAGATGTACGTCCGTTACTCTTCACAGTATTTCATGTTACCAGATATTTATATTTTATCTCTCATTCATATTTATTTATGGAACTGTTCAAAAACTCACATTTAAAGTTATTATGACCGTAAAAAGAAAACATTTGCCCAAATTCTCTGAATCATTTGGGGTTTCATAAATGTACATGTATGCACGTCCGTTGCCAAAATTTTAGGGTAACCAGCGGCTGCCAGGCAGGATATGCCCACATTTTCGAGAGATGGATAGAGAACAAGCTAAAAAGAAAGTGATTTTTCCTAAAATCAAGGGCCATAATTCAGGAAATTACAATTCGATATGCGCAAATATCGAAAGGAACCAACCAATATTGGTTTATAAACTTACATTTCAAGTTTCAACAAAATCGAATAAAAATTGTGACCTCTATAGGGTCCACAACCTTGATATACCATATTTTTACGCTATTTGAGAACGAGGGGCGGCCATTTTGTCTGTCAGTTTTGGACCGATTTTCACGAAATACGAACTCAGCCGTCTTTAGGGTGTAACGGTGATATAATAATACGTTTTTTTAAATCGAATAAGCTAAAATAAGCCCACAACCTAAAAAACGCGATTTTTCATATAATTCAGGAAGTTACTGTCCGATATGCACGATTATCGAAAGGAACCGAGATCTTTGGGTTATAAACTTACATTTCAAGTTTCATCAAAATAGGATTACAGTGTTCACAAGCTAAAAACGTGATTTTTCGTACAATCAGGGGCCATAATCCATGAAGTTACAGTACGATACATGCCAATATCGAAAGGAACCGAGATCTTAGGATGATAAACCTATATTTCAAGTTTCGTTGAAATCGGATAAAAATTGTGACCTGTAGACTGTTCTCAAACAATTGTGGACGGACATCCGGACAGACGGACAGGGGCGACGACAATATACGTCCACATGAAAATGTGGGCGTATAAAAATGTACGTCTGTTACCAAATTTTTAAATCACAATATTTTATGCAAGGAGTAATGTTTTTAATAGGAAAGTATATGTAACTGCTCCATTAATTCAAATGAGTTAATTATAATTATTATCTATCAGTCCCATTACTTGATTGTTTACATATCTCATGTAATGGGTTAGCAATTTGCACTCATACGTCCATTACCAGAAAATATGTATGTCCGTTATCACAATAATTTCTAATTTACTGGGTTACAACTTACAAGAATCCAAATGTAAGAAGTGATCATACAGTACACATCTAGCATTAGTGCCCTTTCTTACAGGGATTAAAACGGGCAAATCATAGTGTTCATTTCTGTACGACCATTACCTTGAGAAGCCAATATTAATATTAATTTCAGGTGTTCATGATCAAATCATATGTCTTTAATGCTATGCAAGGCTCTACAATGCGACTGAAACACTCGCATTTGCGAGTGAATTTTGACAATGGCGACCAGATATTTATAAATGCTATATTTCTTCTGGAGAGTGAACATATATCTTGAAGTCCCCAATTAACACTATAGCTATCTGAACTTTTCTCCGTAAAGATAACGTAATCGGCAATGATCCCGGTCGACTGTCACTCTTGTTTATCTCCTGGTTTGAAATTGGGTCATTCTCTGCGAGGAAATTCTCATTGCGCATGCGCTGTATTTATTGGAAGTTTACGAGACAGCTGACAGCATGGCTAGCAGACGAATCAAACCTATATCGTCTTACTTTACTAGTAAAGTAACTTCGTCTCGCAGCGAGTCTCAGTCGGGGAAAAATGATGATAGTCATGCTACTGATGCTACACCACCCAAACAAGCAAAATTACAAGCTTCACCATCTTCGTCTCGCAGTGAGTCCCAGTTGGAAAAAAATGTTTAAAACATCTTTTATTATTATTATAGGACGACAAGTTGAAGAGTTATGTATGTTCACAATATAATTTAGCTACCGGTATATCATACGACAAATTATTCTAATCTTCAGACTTGGCAACTGAAAATTGTTTGGCTAGTAGTTTTGAAAATTTACTTATGTTTGCACAAGTAAGTTCAAAATGCTGTGTAGAGCCTTGCTATATAAAACCCAAACAGTTAATTATTCATGGTTAGATAATATTGGAAGTATTCGAAATATGAGTTCAAAATGTACGTCCGTTACCGTGGAATTGTCCTATTGTGTTCCAAAGTTTCGGCCAATCAAATTGCTTATCGCTTTTGCTTACCCTGGGCAGAAAATGCTCATAATCAAACTTAGTCAAGGTATTGATATAATGAAACTATACACTCAAGTTTCATCACTCTCACTTAATTAGAACTAAAGTTAACCAATCAAATTGCTCATGTCTGCTTACCCTAAGCAGAAAATGCTCATCTTCGAACACCATCAATGACCAGGATCAATAATAAATCAAATCCCTAACAAATGAGTCTGATTGAGCCTCCAAAGTCTCCACCAATCAAATTGCTTATTCTTACTAATAAGTTGGTATTTGCTAGTATGAAATGAAATCTGCTCTGAATGGACATACCCCATATATGGTGCTGAGGCAATGCTAGTCAC